TAAAGTGTGTGTGTTTAATTACAAAAGAGGTATGTGCTTGAAAAAGAACATAATGTTGAATTTTAGACTGAGCATGGACTCTGACACCAAATTACCTGGATTCAAATCCCAGCTCTGCCATTTACTAGCTGTATAATCTTGAGCATATTACTTAACCACTTTGTGCCTCAGTATCCTTATATATAAAGTGTGGGGTAATGAAAATATCTACACCATGGGATTATTGTATTAAACAGGTTCACACATTTAAAGTGTATGAAACAGTGCCTGGCGTATTCTAAAAGCTTGACATAGTTTAGATGTCATTATAGTTGAAATAATCCAGACGTGTAGAATTCCCCAGATCATAAGAGCTTAATGAATATTCTATCAGATTTCATCTCACATAGCATAATCTTTTTAATTTAGTTCTTAATCTGCATACAGTAAAAATCAGTAAATATACGTTTTGTGAGCTTCAACAAATGCATAGTCTTGTAACCATCACTGCAATTGGGAAATAGAACAGTTTCCTCAACCCCTAAGACTTCCCTTGTGCTGCCCCTTCACAGTCAAATACTCCCCCTACCCCTAACCTTTTGACAACCGCTGATCTGTTCCCTCCGTATAGTTTTGCCTTTTCCAGAATGTCATATAAATGAAAACATACAGTTAAAAAGAAATCATGCCTTTTGAGCCTGGCTTCCTTCACTCAGCATAATGCATTTGACATTAACCCCAGATGCTGCATGTATCAGTCATGTTTTTTCACTGCTGAGTAGTATTCTTTTCTATGGATATATTAGAATGTGTTTATCCCCTCACCCGTGACTGACATTTGGGTTGTTTCTAGTTTTTTGCAATTATGAATAATCCTGCTGAAAACAATTGTGTGCAGGTTTGTGTGTCAACGTAAGTTTTCAATTTGTCCTGGATATTCAGTAGTGGGATTGCTGGGTTATATCGTAAATGTACATTTAATATTTTAAGAAACTGTAAAGCTGTTTTCCAAAGTGGCCATACCATTTTGCATTCCCACCAGCAACACGTGTGAGTTCTGGTTGCTCTGCATCCTTACCAGCACTTGGTTTAGCCAGTTTTTGGTTTTTTAAAATTTTATTTATTCTAAATAAGCGTGTAGTAGCATAATTCTTAACCAAGTTTTCTATCAAATCCTTGAGACTTGGAAGAAGAGAGAGAACAGGGCTAGATTAAATGCAGAGTTCATAAGGAGGGGCTGGAGAGACTGTTAGGTTTGTAAGAGCTTGGTATGTCTGTCATGTTCACTGTTGTATCCCCAAACAACTGGCACTGGGCCTGACACACAGTAGGAATCTCTTTGCATGTTTATTGAATCACTGTACACATGATTGAGAGGTTAGGGAAGAAACAGGAGTAGGATGGAAAAGTAACTTTAGATGAGACTTGGTTTGAGTAATCCCAGTATATTCACGTGACACATCTCTTAACTCTTCTGGTCCTTAGCTTCATCGCTGTAAATTGAAAAGATTCTGTTAGATGATACCTAAGCTCCTTTAACTATAATTTTTTTCCTTTTAATGACATCGAATGAGAAGTAGTTCAGTAAGTGAGGAAGAAGCATGTCAGAGCCTTTGATGGGGAAGTAGTTGTATATGGATGTAATGTGAAGTATAGCCCTTCAGGGAGTTGAGGGGTGAGTATCTAAACAGAGAGCTAGCTAATGACAGAAACGAACAGTAGATTTAAAAAAAGGTAGTTACAGGGGGGTTTTCAAATCGAGTAGTAGCATTGCAGGGATATTTTGGGGGCAGGGGCTATGAAAGGAAATAGGGGTTGAGAATACTAAATTCAGCAGCTCTTTTTAAATTATTACTTTAGACTGGAGAGAAGTGGCCTATAGTGTCTTTTAATGCAAAGAGGAGGAGCTGAGCCTCAGAGAAAGCAAAGCCAAGGCTGTGTAGCACTACAGACCATCCTGGGCCCTGTGTGAGCAAATTGTTTGGCTACTGTTTTCCAGTGTGCTTTTTCTGCACCCTCACTCCCTCAACCTGCTTCTTAGAAGTTCCGATCTAGAGTTTAGCAGAAAGCCAGTTCTTAGCAGATACTTGTTCTGTTTGTACTTTGAAGGATTTTGTGTATAACACTGTCAAGTATTGGTAGAGATTTAAAAATATACCAAATATGCAGAAAAACTTGATTCGGCGTAAGAGACTTGACCTGTTTTGTTTGTCTGACTGATATTTTTTAAAGCACCATGACATTTGAAATTTTATTTCTTTTTCCTGTTGTGATTCTTTTCAAATATTCAGAGGTCTTAATTGCTGAAATACCTTTTTTTAAAAAAATTTATTTTATTTTATTTTTGGCTGCGCTGGGTCTTCATTGCTGCGCGCGGGCTTTCTCTAGTTGCGGCAAGCGGGGTCTCCTCTTTGTTGCAGTGCGCGGGCTTCTCATTGTGGTGGCTTCTCTTGTTGCGGAGCATGGACTCTAGGTGCACTGGCTTCAGTAGTTGTGGCACGCAGGCTCAGTAGTAGTGGTGCATGGGCTTAGTTGCTCCGTGGCATGTGGGATCTTCCTGGACCAGGGCTCGAACCTGTGTCCCCCACGTTGGCAGGTGGACTCCTAACCACTGCGCAACCAGGGAAGCCCTGAAATACCTTTTTTTAATATATAAATTTTAAGGCCATTATTATTTTCATGGTTTTAATGTTTCCCACGGTTTTATTATCCTGAGGCAAACCATGTTTTTGCTCTAATAGAGTTTAGGTTGTAAAATCAAATGTTTGATTATTCATTTTAGACTGTGCTTCCAACAGTTTATTTTTAAAACATCAATATTTTGTTCATCTGGTTATGAGGACCCTCAAAAGTAATCCATTGGCAAATAATTAAGAAAGTGAGTGAGGAGTCTGACTTCTACTTAACCTTTCAGCTCATAAAGACCAAATGCCCAGAGATATTTCCTTTACGTTCTAATGTAAAGAATTAATATTTCTAGATTTAACAAATTCTTTTTTAGTGCACTCTGTAAAATTGCCATCACTTTCAGGCACAGTCACCCTTAGGAAGCTGTTCTGCAGTTCTTAGTCCATTAAATCTACTTGTTAGACCTGTAGGTTATGTAAGAGATAAAAAAAAAACGAACTCTGGAGTATTTTAAAATTTTGCATTGGATAACGTCTTGGAAAAGAAAATATACAGTTTTATGTTAATACTAATAAGCAGAACAAAAAGCAAGGCTTTTAAAACAGCTTTTTTCTTTTTTTGGGGAAGTCAGTTGAGAGTATCTCTTTTTTTTCTTTATTTCAATTTTAAAAAAAAGAGAAAAGTTGATTTATAATGTGTTAGTTTCTGCTATACAGCAGAGTGATTCAGGTATACATATATGTATTCTTTTTCATATTCTTTTCCATTATGGTTTATTACAGAATATTGACTTTAATTCCCTGTGCTATGCAGCAAGAAGTTGTTTACCTTGTTGTTGTACTGCTAATCCAAAACTCCTACCGCTTCCCTCCCCCACCCCCTTTCCCCTTTGGTAAACATAAGTTTGTTTTCTATGACTGAGTCTGTTTCTGTTTCATAAATAAGTTCATTTGTGTCATATTTTAGATTCCATGTATAAGTGATAGCATATGGTATTTGTCTTTCTCTTTCTGATTTACTTCACTTAGTATGATAATCTCTAGGTCCATCCATGTTGCTGTAAATGGCATTATTTCATTACTTTTTATGGCTGAGTAGTACTCCATTTTGTATATATAACTCATCTTCTTTGTTCATCTGTCAGTGGACATTTAGGTTGCTTCTGTGTCTTGACTGTTGTAAATAGTACTACTGTGAACACTGAGGTGCACATATCTTTTCGGATTTTGGTTTTCTCTGGATAAATGCCCAGGAGTGGGATTGCTTGATCATATGGTAGCTCTATTTTTAGTTTTTGAAGGAACCTCCATACTGTTTTCCATGATGGCTGCACCAATTTACATTCCCACCGACAGTGTAGGAAGGTTCTCTTTTCTCCACACGCTCTCCAGCATTTGTTTCAGTGGCCATTCTGACCAGTGTGAGGTACCTCATTGTAGTTTTGATTTGTATTTCTCTAATAATTAGTGATGTTGAGCATCTTTTCATGTGCCTATTGAGAATCTGTATGTCTTCTTTGGAGCAGTATTTATTTAGGTTTTCTGCCCATTTTTTGATTGGGTTGTTTTTTTGTTATTGAATTGTATGAGCTGTTTGTATATTTTGGTAATTAAGGCCTTGTCAGTCAAATTGTTGGCAGATATTTTCTCCCATTTGTAGGTTGTCTTTTCGTTTGTTTGTGGTTTCCTTTGCAATGTAAAAGCTTATAGGTTTGATTAGTTCCCATTTGTTTATTTTGCTTTTATTTCTGTTGCCTTCGGAGACTGACCTAAGGAAACATTGCTAAGTCAGGGAATGTTTTGCCTGTGTTCTCTTCTAGGAGTTTTATGGTGTCATGTCCTATATTTTATCCATTTTGAGTTTATATTTGTGTATGGTGTGAGGGTATGTTCTAACTTCATTGATTAACGTGTGGCTGTCCAGCTTTCCCAGCACCACTTGCTGAAGAGATTGTTTTTTCTCCATTGTATATTTTTGCTTGCACTGTCAAAGTTTTTTTTTTTTTTTTTTTTTGGCTGCGCCACCTGGCATGCAGAACCTTAGTTCCCCAGCCAGGGATCCAATCTGTGCCCCCTGCAGTGGAAGCACAGAGTCCTAGCCACTGGACCATCAGGGATTTCCTGTCGAAGATTAATTGACCATAGGTGTGTGGGTTTACTTCTGGGCTCTGTATTCTGTTCCATTGATAAATATATCTGTTTTGCGGGAGAGTATCCATTTCTAATGTTGACTTGTTAGACCTGTAGGTCATGTAAGAGGGCATTCAAGCTCATATTCTTTATCAGGGCCTATTCTGTAGCCCTATAATCAAAGATTATTACATGTATCATTCTGAAATTGAATTTGGACAGTTACAGTAACAAAATATATCGATTTTTTTTTGTGTCTTTCAGAATCATGGTGTCATGGAGAGGGATATACTTTATACTCACTCTGTTTTGGGGAAGCTTTTTTGGAAGCATTTTCATGCTGGGTCCCTTTTTACCTTTGATGTTTATAAACCCATCTTGGTATCGCTGGATCAACAACCGCCTTGTGGCAACCTGGCTCACGCTACCTGTGGTAAGTTAAACAGCAGAGAAAGAGACCATACCAAAGAGACCGTACCAGTGACCATACCAAAGTGGCCTAGCCTATTGATTTGTATTTTGTTAGAGTCAGATTTAGTCAAATATTAGAAGAAACATATGCGTGTTACATAAGAAGCACATTAGTGTTTGTATTTCCCCCTTTAAATGAAAGAGAGAAATGAAGTAATTCATGTCCTTGAAATAAAATATGTATTTAAGGGCTATATTCCAAAATTGAGTTTCTTCCATATTCCTAATGAATTTTATTTTCCTTCATTGGGGTATACTTTAGTAAAATGCAAAAATCTAAAGATGCAGACTGAAGAGTTTTTACATTGTTAATTTTATATTGCATTTCCGTTTATTGTATTTATTTATTTATTTCTATTTATTTATTTTATTTTTGGCTGCATTGGGTCTTTGTTGCTGCGTGCAGGTTTTCTCTGGTTGTGGCACGCGGGGGCTACTCTTCATCGTGGTGTGCGGGCTTCTCATTGCGGTGGCTTCTCTTGTTGCGGAGCACGAGCATTAGGCACATGGGCTTCAGTAGTTGTGGCATGCAGGCTCAGTAGTTGTGGTTCACAGGCTCTAGAATGCAGGCTCAGTAGTTGTGGCACACGGGCTTAGTTGCTCTGCAGCCTGTGGGATCTTGCCAGACCAGGGCTTGAACCCGTGTCCCCTGCATTGGCAGGAGGATTCTTAACCACTGCACCACCAGGGAAGCCCTATTCTATTTTATTTTGTATTTCTCATGCTTCTTTTTTTTTTTTTTTTGGTCTTATTTATTTATTTAATATACATGTATCTATTCTTTTTCAAATTCTTTTCCCATTTAGGTTATTACAGAATATTGAGCAGAGTTCCCTGTGCTATACAGTAGGTCCTTGTTGGTTATCTCTTTTAAATATAATGTATGTATATGTCAATCCCAAACTCCCAGTTTATCCTCTCCCCCCCACTCCTTCCCCTTTGGTAACCATAAGTTTGTGAGTGTGTTTCTGGATAAGTGCATTTGTATCTTTTTTTTTTTTTTAAGATTCCGCATACAAGCAATATCATCATATGATATTTGTCTTTCTCTGTCTGACTTACTTCACTTAGTATGATAATCTCCAGGTCTATCCATGTTGTTGCAAATGGCATTATTTCATTCTTTTTAATGGCAGAGTAATATTCCATTGTATGTATGTACCACATCTTTATCCATTAATCGGTCAATGGACATTAGGTTGCTTCCATGTCTTGCCTATCATAAACAGTGCTGCAATGAACATTGGGGTGCATGTATGCTTTTGAACCATAGTTTTATCCAGATATATGCCCAGGAGTGGGATTGCTGGATCATATGGTAGTTCTGTTTTTAGTTTTCTAAGGACGCTCCATACTGTTTTCCATAGTGGCTCTACAAATTTACATTCCCGCTAACAGTGTAGGAGGCTTCCATTTTCTCCACACCCTCTCCATCATTTATTGTTTGTAGACTTTTTGATGATGGCCATTCTGATCGGTGTGACGTGATATCTCATTTTAGTTTTGATTTGCATTTCTCTAATAATTAGCAATGTTGAGCATCTTTTCATGTGCCTCTTGGCCATCTTTATGTCTTCTTTGGAAAAATATTTAGGTCTTCTAACCATTTTTTGATTGGGTTGTTTGTTTTATTGATATTGAGCTGCACGAGCCGTTTGTAAATTTTGGAGATTAATCCCTTGTCAGTCGCATTGTTTGCACATATTTTCTACCATTCTGTGGGGTGTCTTTTTGTTTATGGTTTCCCCTGCCGTGAAAAAGCTTTTGAGTTTAAATAGGTCCCATTAGTTTATTTTTATTTCCATTACTCTAGCAGATGGATTGAAAAAGATCTTGCTGTATTTTATGTCAAAGAGTGTCCTTCCTATGTTTTCCACTAAGAGTTTTATAGTATCAGGTCTTTTTAGGTCTTTCATTCATTTTGAGTTTATTTTTGTGTCTGGTGTATGAGAATGTTCTAGTATCATTCTTTTACAGGTAGCTGTACAGTTTTCCCAGCCCCATTTATTGAAGAGACTGACTTTCTTCTTGTATAGTCTTTCCTCCTTTGTCGTAGACTAGTTGACCATAGATGTGTGGGTTTATTTCTGGGCTTTCCATCCTGTTCCATTGATGTATATATCTGTTTTTGTGCCAGTACCATACTGTTTTGATGACTGTAGCTTTGTAGTATAATATGAAGTCAGGGAGCCTGTTTCCTCCATCTCTGTTTTTCTTTCTCAGGATTGCTTTGGCTATTTGGGGTCTTTTGTGTCTCCATACAAATTAAAAAAAAAATTTGTTCCAGTTCTGTGGAAAATGCCATTGATAATTTGATAGGGATTACATTGAATCTGTAGATTGCCTTGAGTAGTATAGTCATTTTGACACTATTGACTCATCCAACCCAAGAACATGGTATATCCTTCTATATGTTTGTGTCTTTAATTTCTTTCATCAGTGTCTTACGGTTTTCAGAGTACAGGTCTTTTGTCTCCTTAGGTAGGTTTATTCCTCAGTATTTTATTCCTCTTGATGTGACAGTAAATGGGATTGTTTCTTCAACTTCTCTTTCTGATCTTTCATTGTTAGTGTATAGAAATGTAACAGATTTCTGTGCATTAATTTTGTATCCTGCAACTTTACCAAATTCATTGACTAGCTCTAGTAGTTTTCTGGTAGCATCTTTAGGATTCTCTATGTATAGGATCATGTCGTCTACAAACAGTGACAGTCTTACTACTTCTTTTCCAATTTGGACTGCTTTTATTTCTTTTTCTTCCCTGATTGCCATGGCTAGGACTTCCAAAACTATGTTGAATAAAAGTGGCGAGAATGGACATTGTTGTGTTCTTCCTGATCTTAGAGGAAATGCTTTCAGCTTTTCACCGTAGAGTTTGATGTTAGCTGTACATTTGTCATATGTGGCCTCTATTGTGTTGAGGTTAGTTCCTTCTATACTGACTTCTTGGAGAGTTTTTATCATAAATGGTGTTGAATTTCGTCAAGAGCTTTTTCTTCATCTGTTGAGATGATCATATGTTTTTTTTTGCGGTATGCGGGCCTCTCACTATTGTGGCCTCTCCCGTTGCGGAGCACAGGCTCTGGACGCGCAGGCTCAGCGGCCATGGCTCATGGGCCCAGCCGCTCCGCGGCATGTGGGATCTTCCTGGACCGGGGCATGAACCCGTGTCCCCTGCATCGGCAGGCGGACTCTCAACCACTGCGCCACCAGGGAAGCCCGATCATATGGTTTTAATCTTCAATTTGTTGATGTGGTGTATTACACTGATTGATTTGCAGATATTGAAAAATTCTTGCATCCTCTGGGATAAGTCCCACTTGATTGTGGTGTATGATCCTCTTAATGTATTGTTTGGATTTGTTAGTGTTTTGTTGCACGTTTTCGCATCTGTGTTCATCAGTGTTGTTGGCCTGTAATTTTCTTTTTTTGTGGTATCTTTGGTTTTGGTATCAGGGTGATGGTGGCCTCATAGAATGAGTTTGGGAGTGTTTGTTCCTCTGCATTTTTTTGGAATAGTTCAAGAAGGATAGGTGTTAACTCTTTTCTAAATGTTTGATAGAATTTTCCTATGAAGCCATCTAGTCCTGGACTTTTGTTTGTTCTAGTTTTTTAATCACAGTTTCAATTTCAGTACTTGTGACTGGTCAGTTCATAGTTTCTGATTCTTCCTGGTCAGTTCATAGTTTCTAATTCTTCCTGGTTCAGTCTTGAGAGATTGTACCTTTCTGAGAGTTTGTCCATTTCTTCCAAGGTTGCCCATTTTATTGGCATACAGTTGTTTGTAGTATAGTCTCATATGAAATTTTGTATTTCTGTGGTGTCTTTCGCAAATTCTTCTTTTTCATTTCTAATCTTACTGATTTGAGCCCTCTCTTGTTCTCTTGATGAGACTGGCTAAAGGTGTATCAATTTTGTTTATCTTTTCAATGAACCAGCTTTTAGTTTCATTGATCTTTTTTATCATTTTCTTCGTCTCTATTTCATTCATTTCTGCTCTGATCTTTATGATTTCTTTCCTTCTTCCAACTTTGGGTTTTGTTTGCTCTTCTTTCTCTAGTTGCTTTAGGTGTAAGGTTAGGTTGTTTATTTGGGATTTTTCTTGTTTCCTGGGGTAAGACTGTATTGCTATAAACTTCCGTCTTAGAACTGCTTTTGCTGTGTCCCACGGTTTTGGATCATAATGCTTTCATTTTCATTTGTCTCCAGGTATTTTTTGATTTCCTCTTTGATATCTTCAGTGAGATCCATTGGTTGTTTAGTAGCATATTGTTTAGCCACCACATGTTTGTGTTTTTTAAAGTTTTTTTTCTTGTAGTTAATTTCTAATATCATAGCGTTGTGGTCGGAAAAGATGCTTGATATGATTTCAGTTCTTTGAAATTTACCAAGGCTCACTTTGTGGCCCAGCATGTGATCAGTCCTGGAGAATGTTCCATGTGCAATTGAGAAGAATGTGTATTCTGCTGCTTTTGGATGGAATGTTTCATAAATATCACTTACGTCCATCTCCTCTAGTGTGTCTTTTAAGTCCTGTGTTTCCTTACTGATTTTCTGTCTGGATGATCTGTTCATTGTTAAAAGTGGGGTGTTAGAGTCCCCCACTATTATTATGTTACTGTCGATTTCTCCTTTTATGACTGTTAGCATTTGCCTTATATATTGAGGTGCTCCTATGTTGGGTGCATATATACTTGTAATTGTTATTTTTTCTCGGATTGATCCCTTCATCATTATGTAGTGTCCTTCTTTGTCTCTTGTAACAGTCTTTATTTTAAAGTCTTTTTGTCTGAGTATTGCTACTCCAGCTTTCTTTTGATTTCCATTTCCATGGAATACCTTCTTCCATCCCCTCTTTCAGTCTGTATGTGTCCCTAGATCTGAAGTGGGTCTCTTGTAGACAGCAAATATACGGGTCTTGTTTTTGTATCCATTCAGCCTTTGTCTTTTGGTTGAAGCAT